GCTCTTTGGGCATATTTCCAAATTGCTGTCTAGAATGGTTGGATCAGTTCACAACTCCACCAACAAAGCATTAGCGTTCCAATTTTCCCATATCTTCTCTGACATTTATCATTTTAGCCAATCTGATAGGTGTGATGTGGTAACTCAGAGTTGTTTTGATTTGCATTTCTTTAATCAATAATGAATTAGTGCATTTTTTTTTTAACACGACTATAGATAGCTTTAATTTCTTCCTTTGAAAACTAACTGTTCACATCCTTTGGCCATTTATCCATTGGGGAATGGCTCATATAAACGCTTCTTTAGAGGAAGCTGGCTGATTCAGTAGGTAGAGAACTGGAACTGTAGTCAGGGAGACCTGAATTCAAGTCCAACCTCAGACACTTACTAGCTGTGTAACTCTGGGCAAGTCATTTGCCCTTGTTTGCCTCAGTTTCCTCATCTGTAAAATAAACTAGAGAAGAAAATGGCAAACCACTTCAGTGACCTTGCCAAGAAAACCCCAAATGGGGTCATGAAGATTCAGGCATAACTGAAACAACTCAACAACAACAAAACCCACAACAACAGTAGATAGAAATGCTTAGTTCAGCTTCCCACTGGTTTTCATAGGCTATTAAAACTTCAACTCTCTTCCTTTCATTATGTGCAGCCCATTCAGTGTCAAGCATTGTGACAGAAAACCTAGAATCACAGAATCAGAGATCAAAGGGACCTTGGAGGCCATCTTATCCAACTCCTTCATTTTACAGATGAGGAAACTGAGGTTCAGAGAAATCAACTGATTTTCCTAAAGGCATATAGGTAGTAAGGGAATAAGATATTAGCTAACTCATGGTCCTCTGACTCTAAATACAGTGACCATTCTTACCATATCAATGAGAATGGAGTTCTTCAAGGTTGTCCAAGTACTAAAGAGAAGAGCTGGGAGTTACAATGTGCATTTGTTGGCTCATAGGGATGTTGTGAAAGTCAAACAATGAGTGATTTGGTTGGTTTGTTTTGGCCCAGATCTGTGACTTTATCAGAGCAGAAAACTGTAGTCTGGAAACTGCCTCCAAGAGAATTGTCTCAGGCACTGAGCTTTTACATAGGATGTCAAGGGCCACTAGTCAATACTGTCAGGGGCACGATTGAAACCCTGATCGTCTTGACTATGAAGCCAAGTACCACCATAAATACCTTGTCCATTGGGCATCCATTTGGTACTATGGATGGAGTGCTAAGCCTGGAATAAACAAGACCTGAGTTCAAATCTAGTTTTAGCCACTGACTGGGCAAATCACTTGACCTCAGTTTTCTCTTCTGTAAAATGGGCATAATAGCAGTTCTCTCACAAAGTCATTGTGTGGACCAAGTGAGATAATATGTAAAGCAGATTGCCTAACACATAATAGGTACTTTAAAAATATGTATTCCCTTGAATTAAATTAAAGCACATTGTCTGACATATAGCAGGTACTTAAAAAAATGTTTATTCCTACCTTCCTTCTCTTCTTCCTTCTTCCTTCCTTCCTTCCTTCACCTTTTCCTCCTCCTCCTCTTCTTCTTCTTCTTTTCTCCTTTTCTTCTTCTTCTTCTTCTTCTTCTTCTTCTTCTTCTTCTTCTTCTTCTTCTTCTTCTTCTCCTCCTCCTCCTCCTCCTTCTCTCTCTCTCTCTCTCTCTCTCTCTCTCTCTCTCTCTCTCTCTCTCTCTCTCTCTCTCTTTCTTCTCTCCTCTCTCTCACCATTACAAGAACGCTGTCCCACAAACAAGGTGCCAAGTGATCTGTCACTTGCTTTTGTCCAGGTTTAAGAAGCTAACCTGAGAGACTGAACTTCAGGCTTTCTTTAAGAACAAGCATAAGATCCCAGATTTTAAACTGTAGGTTACCTTGAAGGTCATCTAGCTTGACTTCATTTTAGAGAGGAAGAAACTGATCCCTAGAAAAGTGAACCATTTACTTTGTCCAAGGTCACATTGGTAGCAGAGCAAGAATTTGAAAATAAGGCCTCTGATTCTAAATCCAGAATGCTTTCCACCCCATCATTTTACAGATGAGGATACTAAGGACCAGTGAATGGGAGTTACTTGCTTAGAGTTATAATGGTACTGAGTATCAGAGTTTGGAATGTAACCCAGGGCCCCTGCCTCAGAAAGTGGTAAATCTTTCCTGGGTCCAGGCCAGGATTTTTCTCCATTAAGACATGAGATAGATGGAGAGCAGGAAAAAGAGGTATATTCCAGTTCAGTGGTTCCCTGGCTCTTTTTCCTAGCAGTTTAGCACATGTTGAATGATGGGGATTTGAGATATATTAAATAATGGAGTATGAAGGGGGGCAAGGGGAATGTACTAGGTTGGGAAAAGAAGGGCAAAGATTTAAATCAAGTTCATTTTCAGTCATTTGTGTAGTATTGCTGTATTTGAATCCCCACAGAGATAGGGAGACTGGGAATGCTGACTTAACTTGTCTGCCCCTGCAATGGTAAGATTGGTTAGGTTTCAGAACTGGAAGGGACCCTACAATGTCAACAACTACAGCAACAGCAGCAGCAGCAGCAACAAACTACAGGTTCAGATCTTTGAATAGAGAATGTGGAGCATGGAAGGGACCTTTAAATGTAACATATAAGGTCAAGAGAAAGCTTAGAGCATAGACTACCCGAGCTGAGAGGTACCTTAGAACATCAAATTTCAGAGCTGGAATAGACCTTGGAGCACAGACTGTCAAAGCTGGGGGCTACCTTAGAGGATGGAGTATCAGAAGAGAAGAGAATAAGAATTTATATAGACCTACCATGTGCCAAGCACTGTAGTAAGCACTTTATAAATATATTATAAGTATTATATATATGGTAGTAGATGGCACTTTCTTCAACACAAATGAAAGAAACTCCATAGACTTTACAGGGTGTTCAGAATTAGGGAGACAGGTTGTTGTAACCCCACATATGCAAGACATGAGGCAACCAAGTATAAACATTAAACCAATAGGCTTCAACTTTAAGCTGATAATGCATGGGGATCAGGAACACGTGCTTTTTAGAGACAGAAGACAAAAAAAGAGCAGTTCCTTGAGATGCAAGTAAGTTAGTTTGAACATAAGAGGTCTTTGCTTGCACTGGGTGAAGGCTGATGGAACAATTCACTTTCGTTTCGTTAATCATAGAAGGCTTCATGGTGGGAGTGGCATTTCAGCATCTCCTTCAAGAATAAGTACATGACACAATATGTTGAGCATGAGCTTTAAAAACAATGGTTGTTTTAACTCACTCTTCCCATCTCACTTGGAATCTTATTGATTTCTTCTCCACATACCCCTTTTACAAAATGACATCTATCTAGGGTCTACCCCAAAAATTATTTATATGAGCTAGAAGGGAGAATTTGTTGGTCTATTAATACAATGGCATCAACTTGAATTAAAAAGACAGTAGCCTTCAGATTTTTCAGATTACCACACCATTGGCTTACTTTCCTTCCTTTAGGATTGTTGTGCTTTTCTTCCTGTGTTCCTGATTTTATTACTAGATTAGTAGATGTTTCAATATCACTATTTTCTTTATGAGTGTACAGTTGCTAAGGGAGGCCAGGGGAAAGCCATTGAAACCAAGAGGAAGTGCCCAGTAAAGAAAAAAAGTGAATAATTATATTATTATAATCTTTTCAGCACTGAATGTGGAGAAGCACCATGTAGCTTTGGCCTTGATAACTTGGTTGATCCAGTATATTTCATCTAATCTCATCTTTATTTCCTGTCTATGGTGACTTATAAGAAATATTCAAGATACATGACTGCTATCCTTTGCTGTCCTACTAGGTCATGTTCCTTCAACTTTCTGATTCCCATTCTGAGCTCCCCCCCTGCCAAACCAGTAGCTTTCAGTGCCTTCCCTCCTTTTTTTCCTGAGGTACATAGTCTCAAGGATATAAGCTGAATATGTTTTGCCAGTCCTTTAAAAACATGTGTGGTTGCCAACTGACCTGACCCAGACATATTTGTGATTCCAATGCTCTTCTGTTCAGCAAGATCACCTCTCAGAGAGATACAGGAGATGAGTTTTCTAATGTAAGTCATTAATCTCTCCTGACTCCTCAGCTTCAAGAAAGTCATAGATGACTGGATGGCAAAAATGGACTCAGTTTCCAACCAGATATACAGAGAATCTTGAAGTGATCTGCCCTTCATAGGAGATGGTTAATATCAAGGAGAGGGGAAAGCGAATGAATATTAAAAAAGAGGGCTAATATACAGCAGGGAAATAGCATGGCATTCACATTGCATGCAACATTTGATGAAATAATATGGGCAGTGGTTCTGGGCACTCTTTCACACACAAATCCAGACCCTTGAAGTTAAAGTGAATATTGCCTCCAGAGCTAGAGTTACTGTTAGTTCATGAGAGTTGAGTTGCTAAGCATTCACATTTCTTTTGAGAACTAGTCAACTATTTTTGAGCACTGGGGGTTAATTCATAAAAGCCTATGGAAAAGTGGGGTCTAAAAGCTGGGAAGAAAAAATTGGGGGGCTTGAATGTAGGAGAGTGAGGCTGAGACAGGCCCAGGAACATGTAGAAATGAAACAATTAAATCCAACAAACATATTTAAAGCATTTAATATGTGCAAATCACTGTTCCAGGCTGGCAATATACAGAAAAAATAATTCCTTCTCTCAGAGAACTTATATTCTACTGAGGTGGGATGGGGAGAGATATAGCATATTCACAGATCAACAGATGCAATGTATAGACAGGGTAATTATAATGAAATTTCAATACTGATAACTGACACAGAAAAGGAAAAGTTTAGTGTAAGAGATGGCACCTGCAACAATTAATAGTAGAGTAGGAACTCCTCAAGGGCAAGAATTGCTTTGTTTTCCTTTGTTTCCTCACCACCTAAAATAAAGTCCTACGAATAGAAGGTCTTTAATGTTGATTGAATTAAAATGACTTGAACAGAAATGTCTGTCCATTCCTCTACTGCATTTAATCTCTGTGCTGTTTTCTTTCCATGCAGGATTCCGTTGGTGAACCTGTAAAAAACAAAAAAAAAAAATGAAAAAAATGAAAAAAAAAAAAACAACAAAAAAAAAACAAACAAAAAAAAGCCCTAAGACTAAAAACTGGGAAGAATGTCCCTAAACCTACCATTTCTGTTTGCCAGTGGAGATCTCATGGAGCAGAACTCTATAGGCCAAATATATTTTTATAAAAAAAAAAATGAACGTGCCTATAGGCAACCTTCATCGTCCCCAAGGAATTTTTTTGAAGGGGAAGAAGAGAAAAGTTTCCAGAAATAAGGGGAAAAATGATTCTCTGAAGACTTAAGGAAGAAAAGGAGACCAAGTGCAAAGAACAAGGTGGACAGCCTGGAGATGTGGATTTAAATAATGATTCTGAACCTGTGCCAATAACACCATTACGTGCCATGTATTGAGCTGAAAGATTTTGTTTCAAACATGAAGCTAAGTTAATTACACATAGAAATATTACAGAAAACAGGGTTGGGGGTTTCTCTTCTGAGACAGTCAATATTTCTGGTTAATATACATATATAAATATATAAATACATACACGGACACACACACACAAAGACACCTTTTTGTACTGTAGCAATTTTTGAAGCTCTTAAATGTTCCTTTTTAAAGAAAAAATGTGTCATGGGTTACAGAATCTGATTTATTTAACATGCTTAGTATGGACTAAATAAACTGGTGTTTTTTACTTCGGCAGCTTGCCTCTCCAACATATATCTATATACATACATATATATATATATATATTCACATAAACATATATATGACCATTTAGAAACATTTCCACTAGTGAGCAGTATTCTTCTTAATAACCATTATTCTATCACCATCAACCCCAGGGGACAAGCCTTAGTGAACACTCTGGAGCACTCATTGTAAATGTGTTCTCTTACCAGTGGCTGCTAACACTTCTACTTTAGATCAGAAGGAGAATGTCCTGGTTCTATTTTTGTTATTGTAGTTATTTGGTTTGAATCATTTGGTTGTTTAAAGATACTACCTAAGAGCCAGAGGCACATTTTTTTTTTTTTTGTGACTGGCCGTTCTTGAAGAGGACTATGGGTAGAATAATGGTGAAGGGAGAGGGGTATGTGCCATGGATCCTTAGAGCCTATGAGTATGACATAAAGACAGAATGATGAGTGAGTCTCAAAATTAAAAGCATTTATACATGTGTATCTGTGTGTATGCATGTATATGTGTCTAAAGCTATTCCAAACTTGATGGGTCAGCTTCAGGAGGTGGTGCATTCCCAATTGGAGGTCTTCAAGTAAAGGCTGGATGACAGGTATGGCATAGAGGAAATGCTTTTTTCAGTTATGATTTTGTCTAGATGGCTGCCAAAGTCCCTTCTAACTAAAAAATTCTGTTACTGGGAGTGTATGTGTGTGAATGAATGTGCGTGAAGTGCTCAGAAAAAGTTGTTCATTTCATTCTATCTGGAAATCACAACAATTTCATCCTGACTTGACCCGAGAAGTTCACACTTCAGCAGGAAATGGGCATATCCAGCCTGCCCAGAAGCCACCTCAAGCATTCCCCTAAATTAGACCTATATTGATAAAACCTGATGGGGACTGAGGGTAAGTTTCAATCTGTATCAAGGGTCTAAGCTTCCATTTCTGAGTACTGTGAGAATAATTTCATTTATTATTGTTTATAAATACAGAATCCCTTCATTGGGGTCAAGTATCCAGAAAATACTGTTACAATTCTTGGTCAACGTAAACACAAACCAGAACACTGTAATTAATAGCCACATCCATACACCACTACCAAATATAATCCACACCAAATCTGCCAATACACCAAAGGAATGATTGGTCTCAGTTAGTGTCACCTACTTGGTGCCTTGGCACCATGCGGAGAGGAATGCCATATTTTACCTAAGGAGTTGAATGAGTGTCAGGAGCAGAAATCCTGACCTTGCAGTCATATTCTCAGTCATGTAAGTGGGATGTACTGTGGATGTGCCATCTACACCCTCCCCTATGGTCCCTCTTGGGGCTAAGTGCAAGTATTTGTCACATGTTGATCAAACCCAAGGCTGAAATCGTGTTTCAAGATACAGTTTCAGATTATGGAACAGTATTTTTTTTTTATGGGAAGCTAACTGGTCCCTGTGGGCATTAATCCCATGACCTTTATCTCATTAACACTGTGTTTCTACCAATTGAACTGAAAACACCCAATATTACGAGTGGACCATTGTCTGGAGAGGAAACTCTTTTTTCCACTATTTTTGCCTAAACATGAGACATAAATATAGATGAATTCCTGACTCTTTAACCAGGGCAATTCTCACCTTCAACAAGTGTAAACTTAAAAAGTGAGCTTTTTATACATTGAGAAACGAGGAAGAAAAGAGGGAATTTTTAAAAAGACTTTTGTAGCAACCTCTTCACTTTGTCTATGTGTTGTGTTGCTTCCAAATGGTGGGGAAAGAGCACCTTAAATAATTCATAGGAAAGAGTGGTGTGTAAGAGACCCTTCACAAATTGCTTTTGGCCACTTGATGGTCACCTCCCCTAAGCAATGGAAAACTATGTACCTCTTTTATTTCAATACCCATCAACATCCAGACAGTCAAGACTTGGGCATCCTTCCTAAGAGAGCTCTGTTATTGCTGATTTACTATCTATGCAGTCAAGTTGGCTTTCATAAACTTTGGCAGCCTGATCCTTTGAGTGAATGAAGCTGAAGGTGATGGGGCTGCAAGTGAAACCTGACTTTAAGACTGGATCCCCAGCAAGATGGATTGAACTCATGCATTGTGACCTTAAATTGCACTCATAGACCAGGATTTTCAATTCAATGTAATCTAATTCAAAGCAATTTGAACGAACTGAAGTCAACTCAACAAGCATTTATTAAGCACATACTCTGTGCTGGTTACTTGAGATAGCAACAACAACAACAAAAAAGAGAATCTGCCCTTGAGGAGGCTGCATTCTAGTATAATTCATTGCAATTGAGGTTGCATTCCACCTCTGCAGACTCTAAGAAGACAACCACTTTATGACTTTTCAATACAGTCAACAATGCTGTATATACATCCTAGAGCACACAGAATATGAGCAGATGATAGTTTTCTCATGTGCATGCATAAGTGGAATAGTTTCTTTTTTTTTCCCTAGTGTACCATTGCCTACCATTTTATTCTCAATATTCAGCCAGAAGCAGAAACAGGAGCCATCTTCTTCCAGTACAAACCAGGTGACAGTTGGAGGGAGTTGATGAATTTGTTTTAGACCATCTCTTATACACCTTATATAGGAAGATGATATTTGCATATGAAAAAGGTCTTAAATAAAATTTTTAAAAAAGATCTATACAATCTAGCAGTTTATACAGATCACAGTATAAAGAGCAAAGTATGGATTATATTATATTAAACATCATCACTCGTTCATTTAAGTGAATACCTAGTGTGTGCAAGGCATTGCTGATGTATGACTTTTACCCCAGTGATTAGATTTTTCAAAAATTAAATAATTTATTTTTAGTTTTTATCATTCACTTTTATAAGATATAGAGCTCTAAATTCCCCCCTCATCTCCCCAAGGAGACATGCAACATGATATAGGGTATACATGCATAATCATATTAAACATATTTCCACAAGAGTCATGTTGTGAAAGAAGAATTAGAATGAAAGGGGAAAACCATGAAAAAGAAAAAAATAACAATAACTAAAAAAGAGAAAATGGTATGCTTCAATCTTCCTTCAGACTCCATAGTTCTTTCTCTGGATGTGGATAACATTTTCCATCATGAGTCTTTTGGAATAGACTTAGATCATAACATTGCTGAGAAGAGCTCAGTCTATCAAGGTTCACCAATGTTGCTGTTACTGTGTATGGTGTTCTCCCGGTTCTGCTCAGTTCATTCAGCATCAGTTCATGCAAGTCTTTTCAGGTCTTTCTGAAATCAGCCTGTTCATAATTTCTTATGGAACAATAGTATTCCATTACATTCCTATAGTATAACTTGTTCAGCCATTCCCTAATTGATGGGCATCCCCTCAATTTCTGATTCTTTGCCACCACAAAAGAACCAATATAATTCTGTACATGTAGGTCCTTTTCACTCTTTCAGGATTTCTTCAAGATATATACATAGTAGTGTCATTGCTGGATCAAAGGATATGTATAGTTTTATAGTCCTTTGGACAAATTGCTCTTCAGAATGTTTGGATCAGTTCATAATTCCACCAACAATGTATTATTGTTTCAATTTTCCCACATCTTCTCCAACATTTAAATTCTTAGATTTCAATTATTTAATCTTAATGAGACAATCAGCAAGAGATGAATTGGATAGTATTTGCAGGGGGCTGGAGGAAGGCTACCAATTTAGCTGCAGATTTGGCCTCCCTCACTATTAGTATTAACACTTCTGCATCTACTTTAAGTCACTAAAGTCTCATTCTATCACCAACAATAACACTTCTCCCCCTTTTTCTCAGCCTATTGTTCAATGTTTTTGCAGTTCTACTTGCTTCCTTTGGCTCTCAGAAAAGGGGTGCTAAGGTCAGACAGTTCATCTTAGATCTGAGAACTTCATTGATGTCTTATTAGCATCTCTCTTCTAAAGAAGAACTTAACCTTGTTAGTATCATGGCCCTCCTTGGCAATCTGGTGAAGTCTATGAATCCTTTCTCAGATTAATAGTTCCAAATATACAAAATGAAATACATAGGTTTGCGAAGGAAACACATTTTTATTAAAACACAATTATACATGTGTGCTCACATGTAAGATTTATGTGTATGTATACATATATGTATACACATATGCATATATATGCATTATGTATGTGCATATGTTCATGGACCCCAAGTTAAGAACCCCAGTTTTATTGCAAATAACTCCAGGATTAAAGGAAACAGAATCACTGTTTTAATAATTTGCTTAGGAAATTGTTAATTCATCTGAACACCTGATTTGTTCTTTGTTCAGTCAACTCAAGCCCGATTTTGTCTTTGGAAGGACCTAAGCCAATGCAGTGACCTTCCCCTTTGATGCAAACTTACAGTGATCTTGACTCTATGTTTGCCCCCATTTTTCTATTAGGGTCTAGTTGCTCTTATAATCATTCTTCTTGAACTTTAAGCAGAAACTTCTCCTGACATATGCAACAAATAAATGAAGTTATCAACTCTACTGCTTCAGAGTCCAAGAAAGAAGAGAGCCATTCTGGTTATTAGGTCTTCTTACATTACTTTCTGGTGGTTCTGAGTTCTTGATCCTTTACACATCAGGATAGGTGTGACCTTAACAATATGTAAAGATACCCTTGTAGTGCTACAGCAGATAAAGAAAGCAGGTAAGAAACTGAGGTCAACTGATGGCTATTTGTACCTTTCAGGGCACATAGAAGGGACAACTTACTTGAGATTAAAAAGAGAGAAGTGACAAATTTCTAGCAATAACTCACATCAAGTTTTCTCCCCCTAGCCCTCAGCTCTTATAGACTCATTGAGTCGGCTGACATATTTGTTGCCAATTTGATAATCTGCATAATCATTTATACATTTCTATGGTTCTGCGAAACCATCAGAATACCCCACTGGCTCTCTACAATCAACCAGTCATGATAATGCTGGTGAAAAACGAGTGTCCATGGGGACATTGATTCACTCACAGCCATATTCTAGTCCTAAAAAGACTGTTCTTTCCTCTGTGTTCTTGG